ACTACCCCCTAATTTAAATACTTATAGTAGCACTACCTATGCATTTCAACTTTCCGGCAACAAACTTCGACGTGTGGGCCTTATGACGCAACTGTCTAGTATGGAGAGCAAATCTAACCTCCTCTAGAGACACCGTCTCTTTAGCAATAATACAAAATTCTCATATGACACTGGCAAAGACACCAACAAAATTAAGGCAGCATCTTCATCCTCAATCTTAACATCAATATTACGCAATTCTAATAGAATAGTATTCAATTGATCTAAGTGTTATCTAAGGGATGCACCTTCAGACATTCACAGACCGAATATTCGTTACTTCAATAGCAACTTGTTGGTTAAAGACTTCGTCATGTATAGACTCTCCAACATTAACCACAGACTCGATACGGTTTTCTTCTCCGCGACCTCGATGATAACATTGTCTGCCACACACAACATGATTGTTGAGTGTGCCTTCTCCTCCAGAATTGCCATCTCAGTGGTTATCGGATCCGATGACTTCTTCTTCAACAACACCCATAGCCCTTGTTGCTTCAACAAGGCCTACATCTTAATCTGATCTACCACAGAATAAAACTATTCCTCCAAGTGAATTTGTCAATTTTCACATTCATCCCAGACATCTCTCCCACTCAAATCGAACCTGAGCTCTTGACACCACTTGTTATAACGGGTGTGAGTAAGAACAAATATAATGTAAGATTAACAAGAACAAACAGACACAGATTTACATGGTTCACCAACAATGAGCAGTGTTGGCTATGTCCACGGGCAGGAGAGAGTAATAGTTTTATTGATCTTGGGGAATACAAATTACAGATTCAGAATAGATTTGAGACCAATCACAGAAAATAGATTGATTGTCTCTCGGATTTCTAATGTTATCTCTCTCAGTTCTCACATATGTTTGAGAAATACACAAAATACTCTCAAATTTCTGAATTCACTCAACTAATAATTTTCACGGCTAGGAAATAACCCCAAAGTATTTATAATAACCCCTAGGTTAGAAATGAAAGGCCTTAATTAAGGAAATAAGGCCCACGAACAAACTACTCAAAATCGGCCAACAACACTCAGGCATGGGCGTGTCACGCTGGGCAATGGCGTGTCCTTGATCAGAAACAAAGCAATAACTTGAAAACAAAACGACACGCGGGCATGTTAGATTTTGACATGGGTGTGTCGAATGATCTGATTCACTTGAACACATTTGAAAATTTGACAACCGTTGTGATCTCGAATAAATCTTTACCAAAGAATTGACAATAGGGTAAGGGCTTGTTCTCATACGGTTATTTTCAGTTCAGTCCAGTTCAGTTCAGTTCAGCTCCTAATTTCCTTCTCTTATAAAATATTCATTTCAGTTCATTTCAGCTGAGTTCAGTCTATGAGAATAGATCCTAAAAATGATTACTTTTTTGATGAACCTTAACATACAAACAAACCCTAAACATAAACAAACAACTAAGGGCTTGTTTGGCATTAGTTTTGGTTTTAAGTTTTCTGTTTTTTTTATAACCAAAAACCAAAAGCAGCAAACAAGAAAAAGGTGTTTTCACTTTTCTGTTGTCAATTTTCAAAATTATCATAATTTTAACAAGTTTATATAATTTTTGATTCATTATGGGACACATATCATATACTTTTAAAAAACAAAAAACAGAAAACCATAACAGTGCCAAACGAACCCTAACAAAATTAACGACTCCACCAGGGAGATGAACGAAAATCTACACTACTTGTGTAAATTTATTAAACCTAAATTGCAAAATTAAAAAAAAATTAAGGGAAAAGGGTCGGAAAAAGTCTAATTTCTTCAAAAATTAGACTATTTTAGGCCTAAATGGTCAAGATTTTGGAGAAACCCAAAAGCGAGAAGGAGAGAAGAGGGGAGGAGAGGCGAGAATTAATGGATCCATATAGGGGAATTACTAGTTAGATTCTTCTAAACGTCTACTTTTCAAAAATCAAATTCTAATATTTTTTTACATAAAATGAGAAATGATCAACGAAAATAAAAGGTGGAAGTATGCAATTGATGAATATAAAATTATGACAACAGATTGTTCTTCAATTATTTGATACAAAGTATTAGCAAGTATATATTTAACTCTCTTGCAATTAGAGAATTAAATTTGAATGTTTTTGGTATTAAAAATACCAAAAACACAAAATTAGTTGAGCTTAACAAGTGCTCATGAATATACTTGTTAAAAAAATAAAATAAAAAAAATAAAAAATCTTATTGAGGACATTGAACAAATAGTATGTACAATGTACTGTTATTAAGCCTTGACGGAAGAAAGCAACTGATGAGAGATCTTATAATCAGCTTCAACATTAAAAACTCCAAAAACATTAGAGGAGGCCAATTAAATGTTGTAGTCGTAGGAGAATCGGGATGGTTCAAGACATAATTCATTGTCTTTAGACAATTGTAAACATTTTCTCTAATTGTTGCCTTAGCATCTTTAAATTTCCTCATAGTAACATTACCGGCGGGAAAGAGTTAGCTTGAGTTCTTTTTAAGATACTAATCGTCGTCAAATCGGCAAAATTGATAATGATGTCCATATCATGCATGAGTTATGCAAGCATCCAAGCATTTGATGGATCACATCTACGTCCGTAAGAGCGTCTTTGCTATTGCTCTTTATGCAGCTAATGCATACTTCTGGAGCGAATGTTGCACCACACATTTTGTTAACTTGTCTACGGCATGTGTCAAACATCTATTAGGCAAAGGAGAGAAATTACTTGTGTGCAAATTTTCTTGTAAAAACTCCATTCTATTGTATTATTATTGGAAAAATAATAAAATTTTAAATAGATGGATGAATTCATGTACTCCCTCCGTCCCCAAAAAGAACGACCCATTTAGATTGATTTTGCGGGTATTTAAGAAAGTTAAATATAAAGAAGTAAAAGTATATTGGAAAGATAAATTTACATGGGATTTGTAAAAAAGTAAAGAGATAAAGTAATAAAAGTACATAGAGAAACAAAATTTTATATGTGGAAGCTAATTTTGTACAAATATTATTGCAAATTGGTGGGGATTTTAATGCAAATGGGTCATTCTTTTAGGACTAAAATTAGCCTAAATAGGTCGTTCTTTCGGAGAGAGAGGTAGTAAATTATAGATCAGCTTTAGGTTCTTTTAATAATCGGAGTAAAAACTTATTACATGGAAGAAAATGGGTGAGCATGCACAAATCACGTTAACCCAAAGATAAACTATTGGATATACAGATACTTTAACCAATAAAATTAATGTGGTTTTAAATACTTTCTCTGTCCCTAATTGTTTGCTCCACTTTCCTTTTTAAGGTGTCCCTAAAAGATTGCCCCATACTACTTTTGGCATGTTTTCCCACTTGCACTCTCTCTATCTCTCTCTTCATTGATATTTGTGTCAACCCATGTGCACTATTTTTTGCCCAAAGCCTTAATAAAGTAAATTTATGATTTGGGGCAAACAATTAGGGACAGATGGAGTATAATTTTAATGCATTTAATATTTTGGATCGAAAATTTATGTTACAAATATTTTTAAAAAATTATGTGGTTACAAAATTACTTGAATTTAAATATTTTTTAAAATTATGTGGTTACTTGAATTACTTCCTTTTTTTTAAGTTTTATTTTTTAGTTTTTAGTTTTTTTTTTTTTTTAGTTTCTTTTTACTTGAATTACTTGGTGGTAGCATAATTGTTTCTCTTGTAGATAGTCGCCTTTTGGCTGTAATGGCTACTTGGGAGAAGGCAGCTGTTAAAAACGAGAGGAATGGGAATTTCTTACACCAAACAAGGAAAAGCCACACAAATATACAAACCCGTTTAGTTTAATGTAAACCATTTTCAATGGAAAATTCGTTTTCATGGAAAATATATTTTTAAGGAAAAACACAATTGCAAATTGGAAATTTTGTCAGAAACCTCCTTTAAAAGCATTTGTTTGTGAAAAACCTCCTTATAATAATATTTTTGTGAGATCATACCTTAATCAATTTTTTTTTTACAAAACCCTGTTTTCAGGCGTTAACTACCCACGTGCATATCACGCGTTCAACGGAAAACCACCCAGACCCACCACCATAGTCCACCACCACCTCCTGCCAGCGTCTAGGGTTCCCTATTCCCCCCGCCGGCGACGCTACCCCAGCCCCACCGTCACCCAGAATCCCAAACCCCATCGACGACCCTCCCTCTCCTTCCTCTTCCCACCGCAACTACAACCCTCCTAACCACAACCCCTTAAAACCAGCAACCTTGTTGCCTCCACATCACTGTCCAACTGCTCCACCGCACCACCTATCTTCGCGCAAGCACAACAACGTCAATCCGCAGCAGCCTCCATCTCCATCGCTGCAACACCGCACCAATTGCAACCCCAATTCGGCCCCTCAATTAAGCCCCAATATCAAAGCAAATATTTTCCTCTTCCAAAAATTATATTCTTGTTGTTATCCGAGGAAGCGTCGCCGACTATCAGAGCCCTAGGGTATTGTCGCTAGGAAGGGAGTGGTTGGGCAGGTGGGAGTAGGCGAGTTGCGAGGGTCTGATGTGGCTCGAATTGGTGGCGATTGGAGTTGCTGCGTGCGGTATTCGGTTTTGCTGCTGTTGTTGGTGCCGATTGGTGGGGTTGTTGGTGTTTGCGTGGGTGCTGTGGGGGTGGGCCGGGTGGCTGGTCTTTGGTGGTAAGTTAATTTTGGGAAAATTTTGGGAAATATAAGATTGGGTGGTTTTCCATTGAACATGTGGGTGGTCAACACCCCGTTTTCCGTCGAAAGGTATGATTTTGTAAAAAAAAAAAAAAAATGATTAAGGTATGATTTCACAACAAAAAAAATTATAAGGAGGTTTTTCACAAAAAAAAATACTATTAAAAGGAGGTTTTTGACAATTTCCTTGCAAATTAGTTTTCTTTTGTTTGGTTACATACAAGAAAAGTTCAAAAAAAAAAAAAAAAAAAAAAAAAAGGAGGTAAGGAGAAGAGAGAAAAATAAAAACATTTTCCATAAAACCCAAACAGGGCTTATATTGATCGTTCTTAGCAGCGTAACCGGCCGGCCATAAGAACAATATCTCTTATTACAATTTACTATTACGATACATATGACATATCATAAATTTATTCGAAAACAAAATACATTATTGCAACAACCACACACATGTATATCACACAATATTATATTAAAATACTAGTCCAATTAACATGAAAGATTAACACCAGGATTAACCCCAAAATCAGCACAATACTTCTTAAAAAACTGAATACGATCATTAGCTTGAGCTTGATTTTTGCCGTTGCATTCAAGAGCACCATTGATCGCTTTAATGGTAGCTCCGAAACCTTGGTTCATAACAGAATGAACATTGGTCATCCAGTACCACATTGCAGCCTTAAAGGCTGTATCTACATCAGTAGCCACCTTCTCAGGGTTTCCGAGTCCATTAAAATTAAGCGCCTTTCCTGCAGGACCGTAGTTGTAGTTCCACGACAGTTGAAGAGGTCCTCTGCCGAAGTACTTCTTCCCTGGCGCGCAAGGGTATTGTGCTGCCTTAGTCTGATCGCAGTAGCTATCGTTAACTTTTCCGTCTTGCTCTTCGATATGGCAGAAATCTAAACAAATAACAGGTTGTTTTTCGTTTAGATAGAGTTGAAATAACAGGCCAATGATGCATATGATAATTGTAATTTGTAACTAACTTAGCTGAACATATATGCACATGACTTAGGATCTGTTCTCATTGACTGAACTTAGCTGAACTGAACTGCAATGAATATTTTATAAGAGAAGGAAATTGGAAGTTGAACTGAACTGAACTGAGCTGAACTTAACTGAACTTAAACGTATGAGAATAGACCCTTAATTGAGATACTCGAAATTCAAAAAAGTACATAAGAAAGGAAAATTTAATACTTACCACCTATATAGTCAAGTTTTAATTAATAATAATCAACAATTTTTTTTTTTTTACCACCAACCATTATTTAAAATCTTAAATTTTACCACCAGTTTACCCAAACATCCTTGCATGACATCATTCACTTCAATATCCCTCATTTGTTTTTCATTTTCTCTCGATTCGCCTCTAATGACAACAATAATTTAGTTAATCATAAGTTCATAACATGAATTTCACATAATTTAAGTTAATTTTCCCGAATGCCTTACTATAACCAAATCCCAATTTGATTCAAAACTTTAATTTCCTTCAAGACCCCAATTTAAGTTTTCGAAAGTATAAAATAACAATACATACTTTTATTCTCAATTACATATATACGAGGGATAATGATTTTGTTTTCTCTTTTAAATATTAGGTTTTTACCCAGATTTAAGATAGGGTAATGAATAAAGACGGGAAAATCGTTAGAAGAAAAAAGTAAGGTGTAGGGCCCAAAATGACGTCATGCAAAAATTGTTGGTGGTAATTACTGAAACGTGATCTGAATTATAGTATGTGGTAATTATTTAATGAACGACTTACTAGTAGTCTCATGTGAAACATGAGCAAAGAAGGCGGCGATTTCCTTCTTGTTTTCAACACTTGAACCTGAGGTACCGAACTGTGGGAAAGCACTAACAGCATTGAGAAAAGCAGCGCGAGTGTAGAAGTTCTTCCCAGGACAGGACGCAGCAGCTTGGCCAATAATGCCATCAAAGAATGACTGGGTCACAATACCAGACACGGATGATGAACCAGAACCGCCACTACCTGGAGTCGTCGGAGTGGCCTGGCCTTCACAAGGGCCAGATTGACAGTTACCCTTACCACAATAAGGCTCCCCAGTGCCACAGAACCCAAACTTGCTGCAACATAAGTTTGGTGCACACCCACAATTTTGACCAAATATTGAACTTGGTAACGACCAAAATAATGTGATGATTAAGGCCAAAGATAAGGTGTTTTTCAAAAGAAAGGCCATTTTTTGTTTTGATGAGAAAAACTAAGCGAATGTTAGTGTATTTATAGTTAAATTATACTTAGAAAAGTCTTAAGTTATTGTTTGACATATACGTTTTTGAATAATGCTGGTGAATTGAACACGGCAATAATGTTTCAAATTTCTTTGATATGATATTATCTTATGTTTGGTTTGTCTCCACCGTATTTTTATCTTTGACTTATTAATACATGATAGTCCATGTTTATGTATTAAAATAAAACATGATAGTCTATGTTTGTCTACAACTAATTAAAGGTTGCACAGCTGTTTAAATTGATGATTTCTTACAAATTCCTTCTGTTTCAAGGAAGTAACAATGAGCTGATAAACTAATAATTAAGGATTTGACACGACACTAATATCGTCTTTATTTCTATGTTACAATATATTCAATCATTCTTCAATAATAAAGGATTTTCACTAAGATTGGATATTATTATCATATCATAGACTTGTACAGTAGTACATACAAATGTTTTTTTTTTAAAGCCAAAAATGGCGAGTGATGAGAATCGATCTCATGATCCTTTTGGATTGGGAGAGAAGCTCTAACCACCTGAGTTATTCCTCACACTCACATTAGGTTTTTTTTTTCATGACAATGCTATTGAACATTCTAAACTCTCACAATTTTTTCAGAAAATTTTATAAATTTATTATTAATCCTTACAATTAATCTGGTTGTTTTTTCCCTAAAAAAACAAAAAAAAAATTAATCTGATTGTTTTTGAAATTATTTAAGCTAGTTTAGCTATTACTAATGTACGTAGTGTTGCATGATGCACTCCATAATAAGCTAATAATTTCAAAAAAAATAATTATATTGGTATGGTTTTTTCTCAATTTTTGTTAAATAAGACATTTATTCATTTATAATAACAATATTTAAAGTTTTATGTTTGTCAATGCACAATTTATAGCATTAATCTTTTAATTAAAAAAATTATTTTAAAAATAAATTTATCAAGATAATATTATTTTCCCTTCATATAAATGCGTAATATGGTTAAGATTAGAGAGTGACAATAGCGTAAATGTTCAAATGTTGCAGTTAATAAGAAAGACCGAAGGTAATGTATGGATATATTTTAGGAAAAATGCACTTTTATAATTCCAACTATGGCGATTTACTTCTAATAATGTCAACTAAGGTTAATTATTTAATAATCTTAACTATGCTATGTGTTTGCCTCCAATAGTCCCAACCAGTCAACACTACGCTAAGTCAATGACCAGTCATAAAAGGTAACCATAACACGTGATTGGTCCAAAATTTAAAAAACAATAATAAAACCAAAATAAAAATCTCAGCCAACTCTTTACCACCGTGAAACCCCAACCCCCCACCCCCTAACCTCGACGGGCCGATCGGCCATCTCTTTTGGCCACTGAAACCAACCGACCGGCCAACCCCGACCTCCAAAACTACATGACCAGCCAACCCCGACCCCAAAACCACCAGCCCAGCGAACCTCGACCCCAAAAACCACTTGAAGTCACCGCCGACACCTGCAGTCACACCTTTGCATCGTTTTTCGGGCGACGGAGGTGATGTGACGAAAGGCGTGTGCTTTGGCAATTTCTTTAGCGTAGGCGGTGACAATATCGTCGCCAGAGGCTCAAATACGTATGCTTCAATAATTTGAGTTTTTGGGGTGGGGGGTTGGCTGGGAGGTTATTTCGGGGGTCGAGGGTGGGTTAATCGTCGGATGATCGATGTTAGTGGTTAAGGGAGGTGGCCGGTTTTCGGTGAGGTTAAGGGTGGGGTTTAGGGTTTGACAGTGGGGATAGGGTGGGTGGGAAATTTGGGATTTTTTGTTTTTGTATTTTTCTTTATGTTTTTATTTTATTTAATTTTTAAACAAATAATTGGACCACTCACGTATTTACACGTGGCTATTAAAAAAAAAACTTTTTCAACAGGTTACTGCTCATTGGGACCATAAAAGGCAAACATATAGCATAGTTAAGATTATTATTAGATAATAAATCTTAGTTGGGATTATTAAAAGTAAAATCGTCCATATTTAGTATTATTAAAGTGTATTTTAACTCCTAATTAAGCATGACGTGTTATTGAGGCATAGAGGAAAGATGGCATTTTGTCTCAGCTAGGCACATCATCAATTTCTAACAAGGCCTACAACCCTGTCGATATTTGCATTAAAATAAAAAAAAAAGTTTATTAAAATATAAAAAAAAAAAAATAAAATAAAAAAAAAAAAAAAAAAACCCTTCGTTGATGATCACCGTGAATTTAAATTGCCGGATGAATGTTGAAGATTGCATTCCTTCAATTCTATATACCAAACTAATTAGAATCACAATGCAGATAAAAGCTATAACACGTTACTTAGGCTGCTATATGTTACTTACTTGTATTTTTCCACTTCACCGCAAAATGCTAAGATGTACGTATAATTATATAAAAATGAAATTGAAGTCAAATTCATGAACCTTTGATGCTTAGAACAAGAATATACATATCAAGATATTTTGGTGATTTTTGTCTATTCATATCCCTTAAGATGAGCTGAAACTACGCAAAATATAAAATCGATTGTTTATTCTTGTTCTTAAAATAAAATACCAATTTTTCGTCAGAAAAAAAAAATACCAATTTAAATTAGGCCCTGTTTTCTTCGCCTTAAAAAATAATATTAAGTAAAAATAATTTCAGTTCAGTAAAAATAATTTCAGTTCAGTTCAGTAAAATTCAGTTTTCTTAAAGAAGAATTATAATAGAAATTCAGTAAAAATAATTTCAGTTCAACAAAATTAATTTCACTTCAGTAAAATTATTTAAGTTCAATAAAAATAATTTAAGTTCAGCAAATATAATTTTATTTCAGTGAAAATAATTCACTTCAACAAAAATAAGGTAAAGAGGACGGGGCCTTAGTTACAATGTACTTTGTACAATTTAAGCTTAATTAGAACTCTCCTCCTATGCAGGCTTGTGTAAGTCCACCAAAGAATTAATTATCAAAGTATGGAATTGAAATTTTATGTTGTATAGGCCTACTCGAAATGATTCAATTTTTACCCGACCTATAAGGTATTTACATATATACTTGAAAAGGGTAAGGGGAATTTCTCAAATACTTCTATATTCTTTTTTAGTTGACACGTTTTGACTTTTAATATTATTTACAAGCTTTAATTTGACTAGCTTTTGTGAATAAAGTTATGATGAAGACAACCATGTGAGATCTTATTAGTATCGTCCCAAAGTATAAATTCATTATGCTGAGTAATTTTTACAAGTTGATAATTAGAGATATTAGTCCTTAAAATTGTGCGTTGGTGGCAAACATAATAAATGAAGTATTTCAAGTAATAAAACAGAACATATGAAATTAAGAACTACAACAGTACGAGTTCCCAGGGACATGGATTTGGATGATCACACAATGTATCTCGACGGTTTCTCACAAAGTTCTACAGAATGGGGAGACGAGTGACCAATTCATGCCTTCTTATGGTCTACGCCAGGGAGATCCTTTGTCACCCTATCTTTTTTTGCTTTGTTTGGATGTACTCTCTAGGATGCTTCAGCGAGGTTGTGAGATAAGACTTTTCGACGGTATTAAATTAGGAAAGCGAGGCCCTTCCATTTCACATTTGTTTTTTGCAGATGATGCCCTCTTATTTTTCAAAGCGTCGGATCGAAGTTGTATGGCCATTTCTGGCATTCTCAACAAGTTTTGCATGGTCTCGGGTCAGCAACTGAACCTTGCAAAGTCACAATTCAAGGTCAATCCAAATACCCCGGTTCAAATACACAATGGATTTAGATCATGTTTGGAGATGGATTAGGTTAATCAATTTGGTGTCCATTTGGGGGTACCTATTAACTTGATGGGTCGTAAAGGGGCATCCTTTCAGTTCATCATTGATAACATTTGGAAAATAATCTCATGGTGGAATGCGGACCCTCTATCCCAACCTCAGAAGATCATCTTGATCAATTCCGTTCTCATCGTTATTACTTCCTATGTGCTATGTTGCTTTGAGATGCCTGCTAGTATTTCAAACAAAGTTGACTCTTTGCTAGCTGGGATTCTGTGGGAAAACAGAGACCATAAGGGAATGCACTAGGTAAGTAAAAATAAATTCAACCTTCCAAAGGAAATGGGGGGTTTAGGGGTCCGAAGCTTGGGTTGCTTCAACTAGGCTTTACTTATGAAGTAGGCGTGGAGATTATTTCACAATCCCCAATTATTACTAGCTAAGGTCTGTTCAATAAGGTTTCAATCTCCGCTCTTAAAAGGGACTCTGGTTAGGGTGCAAATAGGAACCTATCTTGGGGCATGCGGGGTCTTGCTAGAGCCGGGAATAACCTTCTTAGGGGTTGTGGTTGGAAGGTAGGGAATGGAAGCTCCATATTGGAAGGTAAGGACAGGTGGATGGAAGGTAAGGTTCCGGTTTTTAATTCCGATATCACGCTCTGTCAAGCTAAAACTTGGAGGGTGAGTCATTTTTTGGAGCCTCAAACTCATGGCTGGAACCAAGCGCGCCTAATCTCTGCCTTCGAACCCAAGGATGCTATGGTTATTGCTAGCTTGTAATTACTAGAGCAAGCTGAGGAAGAATACATGTTCAGGAATTTTCACAAGATAGGAAGATTCACAGTAAAAACGGGGTATGCATTCCTTAAACGCTCTGCCGTGGGCTTGAGGGATGTTGGACAAGAGGATATTTTTAAGGTTCTTTGGTCCCTCAACATTCTTCCTTAGTGGAAAAATTTTATATGGAAACTTCTCTAGAATGTAATAGTACTACTAAAAGTAATTTGGGGAGAAGGGGGCTTCAGATTTCTTTACATTGTGACCTTTGTGGGTCGCAAGCGAAAAAAGATTTACAACGTCTGTTCAGGTTTGCACAGCTGCTCGGGATGTTTGGAGGGGTGGAATCTTGCAGATCCACTCAGAAGCTAACACAGACTAGTCTTTTCAGGATTGGGCGGGTTCTGTATTATATTCGCCTATTTCTAAGTCAA